TTGCTAAAACTGCAATGTGAGCAGGTATTTCACTTCATCTCTTGCTTGGAAACACAGGTGATTCTGTTCAAACTTCTGGAGGGGGAAATAAAGGTCTATCAATAAAAGCAGTTCATGTTCATATAAACTGAGTTTACTCACAGTGACTCCAGTTAATAACCCTGAAAACTAGTTTTAAAATAACTGAAAGGAGAACCCAAGCTCAGTTTGTCTTGTCCTGTCTCTTCTGACAAAATGTTGTTAAATGAACGAAGATAAACCAAAGCTGATCTTTATAGCACTTCGTTTTTCACAAAGCTTTTCCTTTGCCAGTGCAAGTCAGCAGATGACAGGAGGAATCCGCTCGTCTTCTCAGTGTGGCTACTCTCACCACTGCTCAGCACTTCTCACTACCTGGTTTTAAAATTCTTGTAGCTTTTGAGTTGCTAAGTCATTACAAAACCAGCTCAGTGTGGGGTGGTGATGGAGGACAGAGGAAAAAGATTGGCATGGGCAGGTTGAATCCTTAGCAGAGAGCTGGTCTTGACGTGGTGAAGTACCCCAGGAGAAAGAAAAAGCCTATGGAATTTTTGTGGTATTTTACCTTGTCATCTCACTGTTCCAAAATATTTTCTAGGAAAAACATCACAATGAAGGTGGCAGTTCTGTGTTTATGCCTTATCAGCATCACCGCTGCATGGCCAGTGAGTAAATCACAAATGCATGTCAGCAATCACTTGCATGTTTTCTTTGCATATTAGCAAGAAATTAATACTGACAAATGCTTTTTCTCTTTTCTCCTTTCAAGGTGAGTAAATCCAAGAAGCATGCCATTTCTGCCAGCTCTGAAGAAAAATATGTAAGCTCCTTTTGTCTTTCTATTCATTTTCTTTAATAAATCCTTTTTGATTTATTTTTTTCTTCTCTAATACACATTGCCCAATACTTGTTTTATGATGGTTGCTGCTTGCAGAACATGTCCTTACCTGGCTGTTATGAGCCAGTTTCTCAGGTAGCCAAAACAGAGAGCCACTGATGTCAGTTGATTTTTGCCATGTTAGGACTCTTTGTTAGTTGTATCTCCGGACCAGCACTGGAAACCTTTTTTCTTAATGAAAAATGTGTAAGCTGTCAGTTAAAAAGAGAAAAGGTCTGTAGCATGGCACAACTACTATAACCCACATTCATTAGTGTGGATCAGATGACAATATTTGATGTTGGAAGAACACTTTAATCCAATTCCCATGATTTTTTGGAGTGGTGTGCATGAACAGTATTAGTCTTGTATATAGCTATTTGATTGATACTCCATTGCCAGCTACTACCCATGTAAAATCAATTCTTTGCTCTAAGAATCAGCTACTGCATTTAGTTTAGAGTCTTCGTGATGTGGGAGGTAAATCACTCTTGGGAAAAGGACCTGAGAATTAGGAGAAATGACGGTCATTAGATACAACTCCAAATTTCACTCAATAAAAACGAGCTGGAGAAACTGATCTGAAATTCCCCAGGCTCTGCTAGTGGGAGAGGCACATCTTCTCTATTATATTGTTTGGGTATAAGGTTCATCTGGGATCACAGCTTGTTCTGAGTCCTCTTCCTACTGCAATGAATTGCTGAGGACACATCCTGTACAAAAGGAGTATGTATTGCAGATGCCACATCTGCCTGAAAACAGAGGTTGTGATGCAGGCAGCTTTGCCTGCTCCTGTATGCTCCTTTGTGGATTAACCCCCCCCCCCCCCCCCCCCCCTTTTTTTTTTTTCCTCTTGAAGGACCCCAGGGGCCATCACTCACACAGATATCACCACCACCACGTGAATTCTCAGTCTTGGGAGAGTCTGCAGCACTCACAGAATGACCTGGCGTCACCTCAGCAGGTACAGGCAACTAACTGGAAGAGAAAGCAGAACATCTTTCAATGCCAGAATCTGCAAGTTAGGATTAAGTGCTTAAAGAATAGTCAACATGCTGATCAGCTCTACTGTATATGCCTTTGTGTGCTAATAGTGAGTTTTATGTTGTTTTCAGACTCTTTACTCTTCAGAAGAAAGCGTGGATGTCCCAGTACAACCGGTACGTGTTTTGAACAGCAAAATGTCTGTTGAGTGCTGCAGGGCAGCCAGTGTGTAGCAGCACTCATTTTCCTCAATCAAATGTGGTTCTTGTGGTAACATCTCTCCCCACATAAAACAAAGCTTCGGGCAGGGTGAGGCGAATTCAGAGCAATTCGTGCACGTAGTTCCTCAACAGTGCATAAGCCCTGGGTGAGCGGGACAGATACCAGTCTGCACATCTCACATATATGTTCATTTGCCTGATGCATAATAAATGTTTTCCAGCACTTTCCTGATGTGTCAAGCAAGAGCCATGAAGATGTGGATGATGACGATGATAACGATTCAAATGACACAGACGAATCCGATGAGGTTGTCACAAGTTTTCCCACAGACATTCCAGTAACTGTACCCTTCTCTCCTTTCCCTTTCACCCGGGGAGACAATGCCGGCAGAGGCGACAGTGTGGCCTACAGGGTGAGAGCAAAAGCCACAGTGGTGAAGTCTAGCAAACTCCGCAAAGCTGCAAAAAAGGTAAATAGCACTGAGCAGTGGTATCCAGTTTTTTGGAAAAGGGTAGTGAACTTGAAAATGGACGTGTTATTTTATGGGAGTAAGTTTTGAAAAGAATTGGTGGGGCAAAAGTAGGCATAAGTGAAGGAATGTATTTCCTTTCTCTGGATACCCCAAATCAGGGGGTATCGATGGCCAGAGGGCTGTTGATGTGCTGAGGCAGGAGTGTAGCCTCCTGCTGCAAGCTGTGCAATACTGCAATTTGCACTATCGAGATATACTTGCACACATGAAATCTGAGGCCAGGATCAAACTTGAGTTTCTCGTAATGTGAAAGGCTCATGTAACTCCATGAAAGACCACAGTGTCTCCAGGCAGAGATGTATCACGCAGGCTTTGAGTGTCCCCGCAGCCTACACAGCTTGCTTTGGTGCGGTACAGCAGCACCTGTTGACAGATCAGTTCTTCAGGAGTGACAACAGCTCTTTCTTGTTTTGCTCTAAAACACAGCTCATTGTGTATGATGCCACTGAGGAGGATGAGAGCGCCCTGGATGTAGACAGCCAGCAAGCAGGGCTCTCCCGGGAGGATCCTGCTGCCTGCCGCTCCCTGGGGAAGCATGCCATCAGCGGGGAATGGGCTGACAAGAGCCATGGGCAGGACAGCAGCGAGCTGGACAGCAAGCAGCGTGACCGGAGCGTGGAAAGCGGCAGCCGGCAGAAACTCGACAGCCATGAGGCAGAAGACGATAGCAAGGCTGGTGTCAGAGGGAATAGCCACCAGAGCATGGAAAGCAGGGAGAGCCAGGTTCATGTTTCAGCTGAGATCCCCGATGATAACAGCAATCAAACGATGGAGAGTGCCGAGGATGCTCAAGATCATCACAGCATCGAAAATAACGAAGTCACCCTTTAAAGGGAGACAAATGTAATGTTTCCCTACTGTTTCAATTCCTACCTAAGGGGAGGGGGGAGTAGCTTCATTTCGGGTAACTGTTTGTCAATGTAGAGCGCACGGTGACTTTTCGGGTTTGGGGCAGCTTCTTTACCCAGTGGCCTCCCCTCGGCCGCCAGCAGTGTCAGCCCTCCACACTGCACGTCGTGCCGGCCTCACGGGATGCAGTCGGCAGAGGAGCAGGGAAGCAAGACAAATGCTGTCGGCCGCACAGAGCAAGCGTTACCTCTCTGGTATGGTGCTCTCTGTACTGCCAGCCTGTATTTTGCTGTAACGGGATTTAAATAAAAACACAAAACCCTGTACCCGTGGGCTGCATTACTGTTTGCTGGGTTAGGGCAGGGGGGAGCTTTCTGCCTGTGTGAGGAGCTCTAATACCTCTCCTTCCTAAAACTATGTGAAATGGCTGTTCCCCTGCAATTTATTAAGTGGGTAAAACCCCTCCGCGGGGCCTCCTTCTGCTTTTACCGAGGTGAGCGGCGAGCTGGCCTGAAATACCTGGCGCCGGTCCCTGTACCGCTACCACAGAGCCGCCCCCGGGCTTCCAGCCTCACGGCGCGGCTCGGCGCTTCAGGCCTTAGGCGGGGGGGGCGGAGGCAGACGTCCGGCGCGCGGCCCCACCGGCCGCGTCCCTCTCTGAGGCCACGGGGAGGGAGGGGGGCCCCGGCCC